TTGTTGCCAGGCAGTTTGCATCCTTAATAAACAGGTGAACCCGGGACTGGCAATGACTGTCCCTGCCGGTCCCGGGTCAGAGGTACCGGAACATACATATATTATGAGGCACAGATTGAAAACGACTAGAAGCATCTGCAAATCCCGATGCAGAGTCCGAAGGCAGAGGCTGGATCCAGAGCCCAGTAGGGGAGGAGGAGGAGGCCTCAGGAGGCAGCCATGAAGAAGGGGCAAAGACAGACCTGCATTATTTCACACGACGTTATTCAAAAGAGCTGGACCCGTTTCTAAAACGTTTCACTGCTAGTTGTAGGTTGAATCAGATTCGATGTCAGATGAACGTGATATGAATCCAGCTTTACTTTTGCTTTAGTCACATACATGCTGGGAGGAAAATCAGCTCCATCAGTTGATGTGTGTGTGTAGATCTCTGTGGAGGCCCTGCTAAGAGTCCCACAATGCTTTATCAGAGCGAGTGGGTCTGCAGTTCTCAGTGATGATGAAGTCTGAATGAACACTCCCAGCTGAGTGAGCCATGAGCCTTGTACATGGAGAGGTGAGAGACGGGACACGGAGCCTTGGGGCCCAGCTGTGGGGCTGCAGGACTGAGGGCAGAGCCCTGGGCCGGGACCTGATGTTGTCTCGGTTTCACAACATAAACTCATCAGTTCAGCTGACAAAATGTCCAAAGGTTAATTTATTAAACTCATCAAATAAGCTCATTAACACACACTTCCCAGCATGCACTGCATTGCATTAAGGCTGAAATTTTGATTATAAGATGAGAACATTCACGCGGTGGAGATTTATCATGCATTTTTACAGGGAGTTTGTCTGAATTAAATTAGCAGTAGGATAACTCACTTAAATTTGCTGCCTTTAACCCCCCTTTTTTATTGTATAGGGTTTGTGAGTTCAACAAATCAAGCTTCAGTGCAACTTTAAGGAGTTTTGGTTTTCAAATAATAAAGTTTATATTTAACAGTAACAATAAAACAATTAACTGATTGGATGGATCAGAAATACATTTTCAAAAAGCTTTGTTTTAAAAAAAGTTTTCTCCTGAGCAGAAGTCCCTAAAAACACTGAAGGAACAAGTGACTTTGCATCTGACATCAGTTTGAATCTTTTCCTCTCTCTCTTTGTTTAGTCACCGCCCGCTCTCTCAGACTGATGCTCTCCATTACTGTTGATCGATAGACGACCTATTGATTGGCCTGATATTGACTGGTATGCATGGACACACTCTGCCTCTGTGTGTGTGTGTGTGACCTGTCTCACCTTGCCTATTGTCCAATCAGATGTGTGTGCGTGCATTGCAGGTATTCAGTCACATCCAGCTCGTTAACCACCTGTTTCCTCGTTAGTGGTCTGATTGGATCCATTAGAATCACCTGACCCGTCCTAACAGGTTGAGACAAACTTTAAGATGTTCTGCAGATAGAAAAAACTTTTCATTCAGCACATTTTCAGTTGTTTATTCTTGTCATTTAAACTACATAGAAATGTGCATTACATTAAATTGTACATTAA